TTTATTTGACAGAGAGACACAGCGAGAGAGGGAACACAAGCAGGGGGAGGGGGAGAGGGAGAAGCAGGCTTCCCGCGGAGCAGGGAGCCCGATGCGGGCTCGATCCCAGGACCCTGAGATCATGACCTGAGCCGAAGGCAGCCGCTTAACGACTGAGCCACCCAGGCGCCCCTATTTTTTTCTTTTTTTAAAGCAATTGACTTTGGGGGTTGCTTGAATGGCTCAGTCCGATAAGCTTCCAACTCCTGATTTCAGCTCAGGTCATGATCTCAGGGTTGTGAGATGAGCCCCGCATTGCATTCCACATGGGACATGGAATCTGCTTAAGATTCTCTCTCTCCCTCTCTCTCTGCCCCTCACCCCTCTCCCACTTACATGCTCACTCTCTTTCTCTCTTTCTCTCTCACTAAAAAAGCACACAAGCATGCAAGGAAGGAAGGAAGGAAGGAAGGAAAGAGAAAGAAAGAAATTGACTTTGGTACTTAGATATAGTCCTTATTCAGATTACTCCAGGTTTCGTTTTTGTGTTTGTTTGGTTGGTTGAAAGGGCATAGATGGAGTTCTATGAAATCTTATCACAGGTGTAGATTAGGGTAACTATCATTAAAGTAATCATAAAGGACTGTTCCATTACCACCAAGGAACTCCCTCAGGTAATCCCTTAATAGTCACACCCTCCCCCAAAACCTTCTGCCGCAGAAAGTTATTCTGTTGCCTTATTATTTCAGCAGGGAGTAGAAATCGGAATTGCAACCAGGTGCTCTGAGGGGAGAGACACCTCCTATTTAATTCATGGAGGCTGGAAGTCAGTTATCAGAGACCTCATGGGGAAAGGATCCATCTCTTTGTTGAACTGGGAATGGGAGTGTAATACAGGTTTCTGTCAATGGGCTCTACCAGGGAGGGGCGTTTCTCACTGACCCCTTGCTGCACCATTATTTGAGTGGGGGAGCAACCTGCCATTTTTGTGATATCACCCCTAGAATAGACAAGTGTGATTAAAAGTTTTCTGTTCTGTTTGGCCACCCTTTACTAGTTGTTTGGCTTTTCTTGGATGCCACTTTTACCTGGCATTTTACATCGCTGGGATAAATGAGACAAGGGAAAAAAAAAAACTATGGAACTCACTGTCATGTTATTCTTTAAGTCCCAAGGCACCTAGTCAATCTGTCTTCATTTTTCCACCTCTTAAATTCTTCTGATAAATGACTTATAGGTTTTGACTAGAGTGTTTTTTGTAATTAGAGAAGTAAAATAGATTGTGTTTACTCTATCTTGCGTGGAACTAGAAGTCTCTAATCTTAAGACTTCATCTAACCTATTTGTTTTTCTCAATCAAATGTTAGAGTTTATAACACAGTTTAAAGACTGAAAACTGTCCACAGGGCACATAAAATCTAGTTGAGCATATAAAGAGTTGGCATGTGATGATACATGGAACCTAACCATGTAACTTCCTAAAATATTACTATATGCTACTATTAAAGAAAATGTTGAATTGTGTGGTTAGGTTCTGAATAATATTTTTTGAGTTTTAAATATCTCCATGAATATCTGAATTTTTTACTATTCTTCACCTCTCACTGGGATGTTTATATATACATAATCTCACACACACACACACACACACACACACACACACACAGCTTTCTAGGATCAAATTTAAAAGAAAAAAGAAAAGAGCATCCAATGCTTATAAACATTGATTTGCTTTAGGTTTTTGATATGTGTGGTATATCCCATTGTTTTATTAGTGACTTTATTGACAAAATGCAATGAAGTTTTGTAATTAAAAAAACAATTTGGTGTGGATCTCAAAAGTACGCCATAGGGCAGTGATATAGGACAAATATGGCTTGCTGAGGCAATACACAGATGAGCATGGTTTCAGCCAGTCCATCAAGTTAAGAGGTGATCTAAACAAAGACTTTCAGCCTAAAGTGACATCATACTATGCAAATTATTTTTCTGCAGGCTTTTTCAACAACAAATGCTGCATTTGTCAGTCAAAAGCAGTAACAGGAGAGTAAATTTGACTATATGAAATAAGTAACTTAGACTAACACACTTACTTACATTTGTCAGTAAGAAAATACATTAAGTGAAGGAATTCTCTTCACCTCTTTTCTTCTGATACTTCCCTAATATTTTAGGGCAGTTTTTTAGGGGAACTACCATAGCTGTTATACTACTTCACCTTCACTTATTTTCTTCTCAGCTATACTAATGAAATATTGTCATTTGAGAGCACATGTAATTTATGTGTCTTTTCCTCAGGGAACTGCTTTTTGATGAATACATTGACCACATAATGGTTTTAGTATAAGAAAGCCTTGCTTATAGGGGCACCTGGGTGGCTCAGTTGGTTAAACCTCTGACTCTTGATTTGGGCTTGGGTCATGATCTCAGGGTCTTGGGATCAAGCCCCACGTCGGGCTCTGCATTCAGTGCAGAATCTGCTTGTCCCTCTCCCTCTGCTCCTTTCCCCTCCCCCTGCTCATGTTCTCTCTCACTCTCTCAAATCAATCAATAAATAAAATCTTTTAAAAAAAGCAAGCCTTGCTTATAGTATTCATATAATGTAACTTACATCCCATAAAAATTCATTTTAAAAGCTACAAGATAATTAATTAGGAAGAGTGATCTTTTTAAAGTACGAATGTCTGAGTATATTACTCCTCTGCTCAGGAACCTTCAGGGAATCCCCAATCATCCACTGGGCATTCAAAGCATCCGTGATCTCACACCACCAACTTTCTACTTCCATCACCACCTTCTCCTATAGTTGCTTCTTAAATGCTATTCAAATTGTTTCCTTAATGGACCTCACACTTTTCTACCTCTTCTTCTTTCCTTACTCAGTTCCCTTTTACAAGAAATTCTTCTGTTTTCATCTTCCCACTATTTTGTTTTGTTCTGTCAAAACCATACACATAATCCTATTCAAAATTCCACACATCATCATCCTAAGATTCTACCCTCTCCATGATGTCCCAACTTGATTTGACTCTCTATCCTAATATTTTATTTTGTCTCCCCTTATAGCCTTATTAGGTCAGAGTTATGATTGTATTAGGTTTGTTCTTGTCTGATACTTCTGTAACAGTTTGTGATTTGGATGACAAGATATCCTATTGAAATTTGGATCTTCTGGAGTACCCCACAGAGTGTTTGGCATACAAGTTCAAATTCAGCAGGCACTGGAATTCATATATGAATCAGATACAGTCTCTGATTTAAAGTGCTGAAAATACCAGTGGGAGATCAAGTTTCACAAATAATAATAATACAATAAGATCAGTAGTACATGAAGTAGGGCTTCTCAACATTGACTGCATATTACAGTTACCTCTGGAGCTTTAAAACATTTTATCTATGCCAAGATAATCACCCCAGACAAATTAAGTGAAAGTCATGGGAATGGAGCCCAGGTATGGGTATGTTTTAAAAGCTTCCCAGGTAAGAATAATGTGTAACTAGAGATAGATGTGAGTGAATAGTGCTGGGAGAAGACAGGAAGGGTGTGGAGACTAGAAACAGGAGTAGTGACACAGATGAATTGAACTTGAAAAATGTTCAATATAGAATCTCAATTGATATGTATCAGGGAGAAAGAAAATCTATGCAAAGTAATATTTGTTGATGTAAGGAAGAAAATTGTGCAAATCTATGCAAAATCTATGCAAAGTAATATTTGTTGATATAAGGAAGAAAATTGTGTTTGATTACTGGAAATTTGTGTTTAAAGAATCCCAAATTCATTAATAGTTGCAAAACAGAACCTATGATGGAAGTAAAGCT